GGCAGCTGCACGGAGCAATGCTAGGGCAGTTTTGGGCCACTGTGCCCCTCCCCCTCCAGCAGCAGTTTGGGTGTGGGAGGGGGCTCAGGACTGAGGCATGAGGTTAGGACAGGAGTGGGCAATAATTTTTGGTCGGGGGGGGACACACACAAAGATTTGTAAGTGGACAAGGGCCACACTTTTCTATGGAGGGGGTATGGAGTCTAGGATGGAGGTTGGGTACAGAAGGGCACACGGGGTAAGGGACTGGTGTGGAGTCTGAGAGGGTGTTTGGGTAGAGGAGGAGGTTGTGACCTGGGGCAGGAGCGGCTGCAGAGGTTTTGGTTGGTGTCAATCAGGAGAGCTGACCAGCACCTGGTGACTAAGGGGTTAACTAATGCCTCCTGTACTTAGCCAGGTATCATGGTTAGCCAATAACAATGCAGGTAGGAATTTCAAACTGGGAGAGGGGGTTTTTCCTCTCTCTCTTCTGTGTTTGGGAGGCAGAGCAGTTTCTTCCAAAACTGAGGGAGTTGGGAGACACTTCTCTTTCCAAGAACGGACTTCTTAATATATGTAAGTAGGGAAAAGTTTAGATAGTGTGTCAGGATGTTTTGTTTTCCTTGATTGGGGATTTGGAAATAATGTCTGAGCTTGTTAAATGTTTTTTTTCCCTTTGTAACTAAATTTTAGCCCAGGGGTTTCCCTGAGTATCTTTATCAATTGGTGGCTCTTTCCAACACTTTACTATGCTTTCAACTGTAGTTTTGTTTTGATAATAAAGAATTGTTTTCTTTTCTAATTAACTGGGTTTGGCTGATTGTTGTGTCCTTAAGACCCAGTGCCTAGTTACAAGGGCAGAGTCCATTGTCTGTGAATTCCCTGTTTTTCCCAACTCCAAGTAAAATGGAGGTTGGGGCAGGGGGAGAGTTTTACCTAAGGGAGGAGATTTCCCAAGTGATCACTTCCCTGTTTTTTTTTCTTGGAATTACTTGGGTGGTAGCAGTGGATTCACCAAAATCTGGGTATTAGGATTGGGGGGGGGGGGGGGGGTTTTTGTCAGGAGGGGCTGGGGGTGCCAAAGGCAGGCTCTGGCTGGGAGGCACTTATCTAAGCATCTCCTGGCATGCAGCATCCCCAAGGCAGGATGGGCTCCCTGCCTGCTGCAACCCCAGACTGCTTTAAAATACAGGCCTTTCCCTCCATGTGGCTCTCAGCTGGGGGGTAGGTGGGGGGGTCCAGGAGAAGAAGCTTGCCCTGCTCCCGTACCCTCCCCTACCTATCTCTCAGTTCTGATTAGCTGGCTGTTTCCAGAGCAGAGAAACATAGGGAATGCACTTTAAACAGCAGCAGCTGCGTGCCTGAGGGTCCCAGCAGGGTGGTCCGTGGTTTGGCAGGCCAGATCCAACCCCTGGACTGTATTTGCCCAGCCCTGGGTTAGGATGTGAGATAGGGTGAGGACTCCAGGGCTCCTTGGAGGTAGCAACATCTCTCTCTGTGCTCCACAAGCTGCCTCCACCGGCAGGCACTGCCCCACAGCTTGTATTGGCTGCAGTTCCTGACCAACAGGAGCTGCAGAGCAGGCACTTGGGAGGCGGGGAAGCAGCAAGCAGAGCCCACCTGGCTGACCCTCTGCCTAGGGGACTACAGGAACATGCCAGCCCCTTCTGGGAGCTGCATGTAATCAGATAGGAAGCCTGCCAGCCCTACTAGCTTCTACCTTCGCAGCACCAACACGGGTTCCAGGCCACACGCCAACAACCACTCGCCTGCCCCAGAGCAAGCAGTAAACCCCAGACCACCCTCTGCCCCAGAATATCCAGTTTTTAGTCAGGGATATATAGTACAAATCATGGACAGATCACAAGGTAGGGATGTTAATTACTGAGTAGCTGAATAATTGTGTAACAGCATCAAATTTTAGCAGTTACATCATTTGGTAGTCCCGGAGGGGGAAGACTGGCAACCAGTGTGCTCCTAGCCACACTCTCAGGGAGCCACATGCTCCCTATTCCTGCCTCCCCCAGAGACAGTGGGGGGGGGGGGGGGGGGCAAGCTGGCTCCCCACAAGCATCATTCCACTTCTCCCCCCTGCCCACCATGCTGCTGCCTCTATCACGTGGTGATAGAAGCAGCAGTGTGTGGTGGCGAGCAGCTTGTTAAAAAACCGACTCCTCACATAGACAAGCTCCATGCTGCTGCCCCACCCCCTAACACTGCTGCCTTTATCAGAGGCAGCATGTGGGGTGGCAGCAACCTGGTCCCTGGGGACCAAAGCTCCCAGCTGACAGAGGCTGCTCCACAGCAGCCTCTCTTGCCCCCCACCTGCTGCATACTGCTGCCTCTATTACTGTATGATAGAGGCAGCAGTGTGGGGGGTAGAGCAGGTGGACCGGTGCTTATGGGGAGCTGGCTTTTAAGCTGGATACCCCCTCCCCCCGAGAACCAGCTCCTGACTGCCCCTGCCTCCCACAAAGGCAGCGGGAGGAGAAGGGACAGCCAGCTCTACAGAGCGGGCACGTGTGGGGAGCTGGCTTCCCGTGTGTACTGGCTCCCCCCCGCCTCTATCACAGGATCCCCGGATCCCACCTCTTCCCCCGCAGGCTTATTGGTTAATTGTGTAGTTGACTACATGTAAACATCCCCATCACAAGCTATGAATTTCTGTTTACTGTCGATGACTTTTAATAAAAAAAACTTGTGACTAAAACATAGGCTGAAGTAACACCTCAACTGACTAGAAAAAAGTTATTTAATTCTTTCCATTTTACATTTTCAATTAGGGATGTGAATGTTTAACTGGTAAGTAAAAAAAACTTCCGATCTGAAGAAGTGGGCTGTACCCACGAAAGCTCATGATACCATCTACATGTTTTGTTAGTCAATAAAGTAGTACCGTATTTTCCGGCGTATAGGGCGACTGGGCGTATAAGACGACCCCCTATTTTTTTAATTAAAAGATAGGGTTTCATCTTATACCCCAGCGCCCCTCCGCCTCCTTTGCTCCCAGTGTCCCTGGTCTGCTGGAGATGGTCCCCAGCAGACCAGAGGCACCGGGAGCAAAGCCGTAGCAGCTTTGAAAGCCTCGGGGGAAGCCGGCGGGGGGGCAGCCCAGGCGCACCTGGGATGCCCCGCCGCCGGCTTCCCCCGAGGCTTTCAAAGCCGCGGAGGGGCTCCGGCGGCGGGGCATCCCAGGCGCGCCTGGGATGCCCCGCCGCCGGCTTCCCCCGAGGCTTTCAAAGCCGCGGAGGGGCTCCGGCGGCGGGGCATCCCAGGCGCGCCTGGGATGTATACCCGGCGTACAAGACGACCCCCGATTTTTGGGGGATGTTTTTTAACATCAGAGGTCGTCTTGTACGCCGGAATATACGGTACCAGACCAGTTTGTTTAAGCTTATCCTGTACAGACTAACTTGGCTACCCCCTGAAGTAACTGGTAAGTGTCACTAGGCTGGAGTGTGGGGGCCCGCCATGGACAGGAGCAAATCTCTGTCCAGGCTGGGGAAGCCCCTGCCTGCAGCAGGCCTGGGCACCTGCTCCAGCCCAGCAGCAGGTGGATTGGCCTGTCACCCTTGAGACAGCGCACACTCAGTGTTATTACTCTTAAGTCTACCCAGAGAGCCTTCTCAAAATATAAAAGCCGAAAAATCCATCTCTTTTCAAAAGACACCAGAAATCAAAGCACACTTCATGCTTTGCTATTGAAAGGGTATTTTTATACAAAAATCTTATCTAAAATTGTCAATTAAAACAATTCAAGTTGACATTGGAACACAGAGGAGAGCCAATTTTTTAAAACTCACTTTTGAACAGAAGAAATTGAAATTGAAATTGAAAGGAATTCATCATTTGATAAGACTATTACTTTTCGTAACTGATGTTCAAGATGTATTGCTCATGTCCATTCTAATTTAGGTGTGCACGCATGCTGTGTGCACAGTTGCCTGGAAGATTTTCCCTAGTGGGATACCATAGGTTGGCAAGGGAGACCCGTAGGGTGGCACCAGTATAGCTAGGTATATAGCACCCTGTCGACAGCCCTCCCTCAGTTCCTTCTTGCTGGAAGTGACTCAGACAGAGGGGAGATGGGAGGGTTTTGGAATGGACTTGAGCAATGCATCTCAAAGAACACCAGTTACGAAAGGAAACTTGTCTTTTCTACTTAGAAATTTAGGTGATTCCCAAGCAGCTATCCAGCTGAAGGGTCAGAGATCACCATTAACACTGCCCTTTCAAATGTAGCATTCTCCCTAGCGTGACATTGGATGGCATAGTGGGATGTTAATGTGTGTACAGAGAACCACATGGACACTTGACAAGTGTCTTGGACAGGGACACATGCCAGAAAGGCCATTGACAAGGCTTGTGCCTGGCTCAAATGGGCCAAGAATTATGGGGCTGGTACCTTTGCTAATTTGTAACAAGTACTAATACACTCCGTGATCCAGGAGAACATCATCTGGGCAGTAACAGGAGCCCCTTCATCCTTTCTATTACTGCAACAAACAATTGATTGGACTTCCTGTACAGCTGAGTACATTCAATGTAAAAAGCTAAAGCACACCTGACATCCAGGGAATGTAGGCACCTGTCCAAGGGACTAA